ATGCAGCTGCATAATAAACTAACCTTAGTGCCCTTATCTATAGGGACCAGAATTCCAGACAGGCTGTTACATCCGGCTTTTCCACTCAGCACCAAATAAATCCATGAAAATTAATATCCAGACTTCACTAGCCTAGCGAAATGAAAGAGAAAATTTGGGGACTTCAAGGGAGAAATTGCAAAGGAGTGGGGGGGGCGTAGGGCAGTAGGGAAGTGTAGGGCAGTAGGGAAGTGGAGGGCAGTAGGGAAGTGTAGGGCAGTAGGGAAGTGGAGGGCAGTAGGGAAGTGGAGGGCAGTAGGGAAGTGGAGAGTATTCAATTTTAACTCAATAGCTACATTTTATCCGTATTTTGAATGGTGTACAAGGCAGAGAGAGAAATACCAGTAAAATATACTGAACAACATCTGGCATAATATGTCGTCAATGTTTCTACCTCTCAACATTTTTAGTGTTGTCAGAGACCCAAAAGTCAAGATAAACGTGGCACTGAATAACTTAGAAATAAATTAACATCCACAACTGCACTTGAAGAAATAATTAACAAATTAATGATTTCCTCAGAAAATATTGAGACCGTTCGATGGAATCGAACCAGTGTCCCTAGATTCCCTCCCTGGCACACGCACTACACATCATGGTTCAGTAGGTAGTGTGTGTGTGTGTGTCTGAGCTAAGGATGTGTCTATCTTCTCGTAGACACATCACGATCTTATCATATTACTGAGCATGATTTCCTTTCGTCAGACACTCGCTTATCGCAGGCCAGCCATTCTCTGTCAGGTAGTAGGATGAGTGGGGGAGAGAAGGTAGTGTGACACGAGCGTGGTGTGGCTGCTGGTGTGGCTGCTGGTGTGGCTGTTGGTGTGGCTGTTGGTGTGGCTGTTGGTGTGGCTGTTGGTGTGGCCGCTGGTGTGGCTGCTGGTGTGGCTGTTGGTGTGGCTCCTGGTGTGGCTGCTGGTGTGGCTGTTGGTGTGGCTCCTGGTGTGGCTCCTGGTGTGGCTGCTGGTGTGGCCGCTGGTGTGGCTGTTGGTGTGGCCGCTGGTGTGGCTGCTGGTGTGGCTGTTGGTGTGGCTCCTGGTGTGGCTGCTGGTGTGGCTGCTGGTGTGGCTGTTGGTGTGGCTCCTGGTGTGGCTGCTGGTGTGGCTGTTGGTGTGGCTGCTGATGTGGCTGTTGGTGTGGCTCCTGGTGTGGCTGCTGGTGTGGCGTTGGTGTGGCTCCTGGTGTGGCTGCTGGTGTGGCTGCTGGTGTGGCTGCTGGTGTGGCTGTTGATATGGCTGCTGGTGTGGCTGTTGATATGGCTGCTGGTGTGGCTGCTGGTGTGGCTGCAGGTGTGGCCGCTGGTATGGCTGCTGGTGTGGCTGTTGGTATGGCTGCTGGTGTGGCTGTTGGTGTGGCTGTTGGTGTGGCTGCTGGTATGGCTGCTGGTATGGCTGCTGGTGTGGCAGGTGAAGCAAGGATGGGCGCCACCTGCATCCTTTATATTATTAAGGAGTTCCTTTAACAACGAGATGGCTTGTTGACTAGCCATTTATTTCGTGTTGCCGTCAGATGCCTGCTACATGAGGTGTGTGTTCACAGTCAGTTTGAACAAGCTGGCTATGGTATGGTTTGGTGTTGGGCTTAAGGCCTATCAGTCTATGGAGGGTTATTAAGGTCACTACAAGTAGCTCACTGACCAAGTTACAAGTATACTTGAGTCGTAGACATATTCCAGGGCTGAAGTATACTGTGGGTGTATATACACCCAGAGAGCACAGATATGCGCTCCGTGCCAACTAGACCTGAATATGCTGTTGATGGACTAGTATTCATATTTTTAATAAGATATCACTTTATGTTATATGTTTCTGGTAATTTATTGCCTAACCTAATTACTGTAGGTTCACGTTACATAATAAAATCTATACATTCCAATTTTTGTTAATATTTTTGGTCTATGTGAATCTCATTACTTAATTTTGTATTCCATTTTTAGCCAACAAATGTGCCAAGACTCAAATTGTAAGCAATACTGGGTTCAAATTATGGCTCAATTTTTTCTTTCACTATGCACCTCTTTACTTAAATCAGAATTATGAAGATTTGTACATATTTTTTATGGATAAAATACTTTATCTATCCAAACTTATCACACTTTCTTATCTGTGGATATATATATTCCCACATATACCCTTGTTGTCTCACAGCTTTGTCTCTTGATGTGCCTGTGAAGCATTTTTGGTTATTTCTTCATTTTGTATTACAAATTGTAAATTATCTCTACTTCTCTTTTCACTCTGAGGTACTCATTCCCGGTCCTCCTACACCTCTATTCACAGAGGTGAAATTTTATAATCTCGTTCCCTCGTTGCTCCCCTGTTCTGCCCACAAGTGTACTAGTGTACGAGGAGGGTGTACTAATGTACAAGGAGGGTGTACTAGTGTACGAGCTCCTCTCATTCTCCAGCTGTCGCACCTTTGCTTCTACTGGACATTACCCCTATTGTTGGGTCGTCGATTTGTCGGACAATGAATTTATCGTGTGTATATTGACCTATTTGTGTCTGCAGGGTCGAGCTCTTCAAGTACCCCAGCATCTCCATTCGCCTAATGTTATTATGACTCTCGAACTATTTTCTGTATCATATCTACTGAGCCAGCTACTTACCATCCCCAAGATGTAACTCACAAGCTAACTCCCTGATACCTGTATACTGCTAGGGAAACAGAGGCATCAGGTGAAAGGAAACGTTGGCCAAACACTTCCATCCTGCCGCAGTAGCTCGAATCCTCGATACTCGGGTTGTGAGCCGACAACTTAGCCTACCCTATGTGCGTGCGTGGGTGGGTGGGTGCGTGTGTGTGCACGCGTGTGGAGACACCAGCCACTAGGGTTATCAGCGGCCACAGGTGCGTTAGCTTTGCCATCAGTTAATGTTTCAACTCTCAGTATTAATACTCACGGTGACGCGCGACCGCTGGTGAGCGGCAACCCTGTGAAACTGTACTAGTAAAAACGCCCTGCGTTCTTGTGTCATTAGCCATTATACTTATGTTACTTTTGACTTCTCCACTGTTTGTGTGTCGTCTTTATGTATGTACTTCTACTTAAATAATAATAATAATAATAATTATTATTATTAATTTTATTATTATTATTAATTTTTATTATTATTATTATTATTATTATTATTATTATTATTATTATTATTATTATTAAAGTATTCTTATTATTATACAGCTAGCCAAACTGTATATTAATAATAATAATAATAATAATAATTATTATTATTATTATTGAGAATATCAGTAGGCACCATGAGGAGGATTTGAACCTGTACACTGGGTACTCCCTGCAGGCACATGTCTTAAACCACTGGATCACGATATTCTAAAAAGTACTGTAACTTGGGATTTAACAAACCTAATTCTTTCTAGGTGTGCAACTAGTCTTATCCTGATAATTCTTTCAAGTACTGTGCAAGGGATGCTTGTGAGCAACACTGGTATGTAGTTAATTGCCTCTACCTATCTCCTTTCTTGTAGAGTGACACCACATTTGCCTTCTTCCAGCAGCTGGGCAATTCCCCGTGTGTAAGTGACTCATTATAGATTAGTGATAGAGGTATGCTGAGGGCCTGTGCTGCTTCTTCTGGCATTCATGGTGTTATTTTACCTGGCCCAGTAGCTTTAGTTATATCCAGTGATGCTAGCTGTAGTCTTACTTCCTCTGTTGTTACCTTAATATTTAGTAGTTTCTCATCAGGGGGCTACTTCCTCATCTAGCTCTGGGAGTCTGGGAGTTGTTCAGGTTCAGTAGTGAACACTCCATGGAAGTTGGCACTGAGCTTCTCACAAATGTCTTTATCACTTTCTGTATACTGGCCGCCCCCTTTTTTTTTTTTTAACCTGGTCACTTGGTCATTCATTGTCATTTTCATTCTTATATGGCTATGTAGGATAATGGGCTCAGGGACTGAACTCCACAATTCATTTAACTAAGCAAGTTACAATCTTGATGAGCTAGTTACAAAATTCAGTATAAGTCGTCACATTATCAATGGGTTCGAGATCGACCACAAGTACAGTTTCTAAATTAAGCAACTGACATATGTGGAGAGCTAGTGTCACAATTTATATGTTTGTCCTGCACACCGCCCCCCATCCAGTGGGCAGCGGTGGATAGGTTACAATCACTTAGTTACTACCTACAGTTAGCAAACTGGGAATATTTGGCTAAAATTTCTAGTAGCAGATCATTTTGAATGAAATATTTACACATCGTTGGAACATTTGTTATAGAATTGTCTCTGAATTCACGTATCTTTTCGCACTCCATCACATAGTGACGGAGGGTGTGCGAATAATTTTGTTGACACAGTTTACATTTGGTCAGATCTACATCAGCAGATAATGAGAATTCCCAGAGATACTTGTAACCGAGTCTAAGCCGAGCAGTAGTAACATCTAGAAGTCTGCTGATTTTATTGGATGAAACATAGATGTGTGGCTCCTCTTGCATGATAGTATGATGATAGATGGAATTACTGGTGTCAATTTCACTTTGCCTCAGATCTACAGGTTACACTCAACGTCTCCTTTCAAGGCAGATTCTTAATCATAATGAGATTGGTATTTTTACATTCATGCAAAGCCACAAACATGCATAGTGTTTCGGGCAATAACGCACTGATCAATGAAAATAATAACCCTCGTGCTTTCCAAATAGTGCGTTACTATTTACATATATACATCTCATAGTATTTATAATTTCAGCAAAAAATAATACCATTATTTATGTGTAAACACAGCTGAGAAAGGGGGGTACGGACCTAAACGCAATCTGCGCCTGGGATGATGGAATGACGCATAATGCTTCTTATTTACCATCCACTTCAGACTTAGCAACAGAGTTAAACAAAATATCACATATAAATAAAAAGCTCCAAGTAAATGAATGTTGGAGTGGGTCCAGAGGAGGATTAATAACCCAATATTACAAGTTGGTGGGGTGGGAGTGAGAGGAGAGGGCAGCAGCAGTTGTGGTGGCGGCCGTGGTCATGAGAACACCAAGATGCGCGTCCTCGGTGCCTCTCTCTTAGTTGGCTCTCTCTTTACTCTAGCAACTGCTCTTAATACTATTCTCAATGTGGAAGAGATTAATTCAATCCACTATGCTATCGATATACTGAACAAGCCCGTGGTGAAAGACCAGGTAAGACTGGTCCAGCATCTAGTTGAAGTACAAGTTAGCTCTACATATTTGCTCTCTGGGGCAATACTGTATATCAAAATGTAACGAATGGTAGCACTGTCAGTTTGTCTGTGTGTGTATTTGGACGTTTATGGCTCGTCTTAATCGCTTTAATCTATTGTAAGGCTTGCAGTTGATGGAAGTAGAGTTGTGTGGGTGTAAATCTTGGGAGCAAGCAGACTAGCCAGACCTCACACAATCCACTATCACACCAGTCACCACTCAATATCACACCAGTCACCACACAATATCACACCAGTCACCACACAATATCACACCAGTCACCACTCACACAATATCACACCAGTCACCACACAATATCACACCAGTCACCACTCACACAATATCACACCAGTCACCACTCACACAATATCACACCAGTCACCACTCACACAATATCACACCAGTCACCACTCACACAATATCACACCAGTCACCACTCACTCTATGGTACACATGGATTGCTGCCTGGGGGGTTTTGTTTATTTCAAGAAATATATTGCCATTCGTATGTAATTCGCATGTGGGCAAGCCTAGAAAAGCCTTGCCTAATTAGCATACATGGAGGTGTGTAAAAAATACAAAAATTATTACTGATCCAAACAGTGCAGTAATATCCTCTCTCTTTCTCTCTATATAAGAACAAAAATGTGGACACATACTGGTTGGGTGCTGTGTAATTTGGATGTAAGTCCATGGAACACTGCTCTATGTAGATGCTGGCCATATGGAATATTTCAGCATTAAGATACAGGCCCATCTGGTGTTGTGGTATTTAAGTAAAATGTAACAACATAGCATTTACATTGTCTACTCTTTTTCAGCTTACTCTAAACAAAGAATTTGAATTGAATATAACCATTACCTGACGAGAAGTTGGTTTAGCTTTCCTGACATAAGAGGACAGGAAGCCTGTTGGGCTTATCGAGGTCCCCAAAGCCCACCGACTGACCTTTCCCAGTGTGTAACCCACAACAGTTTCCTAACTCCTTGATACCTATTGACTGCAAGGTGAACAGTTGCATTAGGTGATATGAAATGTGCCCAACCATTTCTGTCCCGCCTGGGATTCAAACCCGAAATTCTCGATTGAGAGTCGAGAACAAACCCAACTGTACCACCGGGACCCTTATTATAAAGTTGTCATTTATATATCCCGTGTTCTAACTTCTAATTTTACCTAAGTATTATCTAAATATGACGGGATTTCAAATGTAACTAAAGTTTTTAGTTCACCCATTTATCTCTTGATATTTTGTTTATAGGTATGGGATGGAGAAGTGATGACGGTTAAGAACAAGCATGGACAGGAATATATATGTTCTTTGCCTAGTGTTGCTCCTCTAGATTCTGACTTCAAACCAGATGATGATATACTCGATCAGCTGGTGGATATTTCTGGTAATCTTGGTGCCCAGTTTTCAACCCTGCTCATTATTAATGCTGCTATAGACCAATAACACATTATATTTGAGGTTTAGTTTAGTTAATACTGTACTAACTATAAATTCTTGCCCAAATTGATCTTTGGGATTATAATCTTTTGATGTTATAATTAATATTTTGTTTTCTTCTTCATAATTATTCATAAAACATTATAATTTCAGTTCTTTTGAAGCCCATGGAAACGGCTCCATGTCTTATTAAAACTGTCGACTGGTGGACGTACGAGTTTTGTTATGGTTCAGTTATCAAGCAGTATCACTTAGAAGGTACTGTAATTGTGTTTTAAGTTTTTTGGATGGTCTGTACTTTAAAGTGCATAATTTAAATATTTTTTTAAGAAATGAGAAATAACTAGCATATCATAGCAGTTATAGCTTGCCACCATAATGGAAGTGAACTGCTCATCTAATATATACTATACATTCATTTTATAGTTGAATTATGATTCATATTTCTGGGAGGGCCCCCCCTCAGTAGCTACCAATCTAATCCATACCTTCAGGAGATGCACCAGGCCTCAGTAACCCACTTGTTGTTTGCAGGGAGCTAGGACCAGAATTTCTCAGTCTGAAATGCAGGGGAGGGGGGGGGGGGAATGTGGGAATCAGAAGTCAATCCAAAACTGAGAAAAATACACAAAGTATAAATACAACTAAGCAAGCAACTCCTTGAATAAAAATAAGGTACCCTGAGGAAATGAGATAATGAGATAAACAATTGTTGCCATGTTGTAAACACTCTAACTATGGTGTACCTAACCACCACTTTGCTTCTGATTACTGTTTGGGAGGGCTTTGGGTTGATTTCCCAAGTCCTTTGATTCCCTTGTTCCCTTGCCAAGTAGAGAGTCAGATTTTGGACCTGGCTTCTGGTAGGCAAGGGTGGGTGGATTTCAGAAGTCTGTTGTATCTCCTTAACCCATGCAAAACATACACATACAGAATAAAAAATATAAACTATCACCAATTGTTCATTTGGTGTTATTCTCTCAGAATAGCATATGATCTTCATTTTCATCAAATTAGAATATAAGTTTTCAGTATAGTTTACTGTAAAAAAAAAATTGTCAATATGGCATTTGATATACAGTGGCAAATTTAGACCAAAAAAATTATAACTCCAAATGTATAAAGTTTATGAAAAATCCATTCTGAAGGGATTGTAGAACAGACAGCTGAGCACACAATATGTCAAAATAGTGAGAATCGGTCAAAAACTGGAATTTTAGAAGCCACTCAAAGTTAAAACTCTAGTTATAGAGATAATTGAAGTTGAAGTTATCAACAATGAATAAAGGTAGTTTTAATTTATTAATTTAATTGTCTGTCTTAATAAACATTGTTTGACATACGTACTCGAATATGTGAAAGTTTTAGGTCAATATGTGTTGAAATGAAGTCAAGAAAAAATAACCCCCAAGAGACACAAAATATAGGGATAGTTATAATAACTATAATGATTTAGGGGATATATTTAGGGGTATACTTTATATAAGTGAAATATGGTCCCTAATCATCAAAGCAATCTAAAGAGACAAAGAAAATAGAGTTTGAAATCTGAGAAAAAATCAGCCAAAAAAATTCAAAGTCCCAAGTTCTGCAAGTTGTAACTAATTTATTTGTTGACCAATTTCATTCTATCTTCACATAGTTAGGGGAACGTATGCACTCTCCAGCATGTAAAGGTTACAACAATATCAGATAATAAACAAAGGAGAAAAAAAACTAAAATCTTAAAAAAAAAATTCCCCTAAAAAATATTTTTTGGACATTGATGAAAGTATCATACATTAACATTGGACAATGTATTTATATGATATATAACAAAATAGAACATAATAACATAGTTACTCATTATTATATGTGTTATTATGTATTACTCAGCAATGCTATAAAGGCACCAACTGTATATCCATTTTGTGGACAATTCTTACTACTACTACTATTCTTCTTCTTTGAGCATTGAACAGGTGCTTGCATCTCTTTATTACTGCATTATCCCTCAGTTCCAGTTAATAGAAGCTGTTCTCTTTATCAACAAAATGTTCATATTTTTTTAAAAATTGTCTAAAATCAATTTCTGAAAATATTTTGATGAAAGTTTCACGACATTGAAGCCAATAAGTTGGAGATTTGTTTAACATTTTAAAATTATTTTTGCATAATTCAAATATTTTTCGCTTCCGGGCCCCCCCAATATGCGCGGTTTAAAGATTAAGGCATGGCTGTTCCAAAGCTTATCTCAAGGAGGATACTGAGGGCCCAGAAAATACAATTTCATTACATTAAAGCTTGATTTTCTGGATATACAATTTTTAAGTGTTTGTGTAACACCTACAACTGTCTTAATAAGTAATGGAAAGTCTTGTTTGTAATTGGTATATTATGCAGTAATTGGTATATTATGGTGTTTCTTTCCCCCCAATTGACCAAATCATTTGTTGTATAGCTTAAACTATGTTTTATAATCTTTATAATCACACTATCTTATATTGTATTAATGACTGTAGAACTAATGTTTATATTTTTCATACAATTTTTTTATATTTTTCAGACAATAAAGCCTCTGGACCTATAATTATTCTGGGTAAATATGAATCTGAATATAATTGGAAGAATAGCTCCGAGACCAAGAACCGTCTCCAGAGGTTTCATAGTCAATTTTATGTGAATGGGACAAAATGTGATCTCACTGGAGAGCCTAGACGTACAGAAGTTCGAGTAAGCTTATATTATTTACACTGTAATAATTAAATAATTTTATATATTCGTTTATTTATTTCTGTGATTAAATGATAGGTTTATTACACTGAAACCGTTCTTGTGATGGTAACTTGGACATCTGAATTGCTGAGTGATGTGAACAAATTCTGAGTTAACCTGAGCACTGCCTAAACTAAACACATGTAATTCTAGTGGTCTTGTTTCAGGAATGAAGGAAAGTTTTTTTGTACTTTTTCCTCTTATGGTTGTGGACTGGTACTATACTTATCTTGCATCTGGTTTCTGCATGGGTTGATCAGCTTTTTACATATGTGGCTCAGTTTCCTAATCAGGAGGTCTTGGCCCTGAATATAGTTTACATATTCCCTCCATCTATCAACCCTTAAAAGCTTACGTTATCTTGCGGGTGTGCAGGCTGGAAAGCATTTGGGGCTACATTTGTTTTATTGCTGCAAGATGGCCAGATTTTTCTGGTTCTTGGCTCATTTTGCACTCTCCTTGACTAGTTCCCCTTTCCAAATTGCCACCTTTCCCAAAGGATTGGCAGTTAAGACTGCATTGATGGTTCCCAGCTATCAGCTGATCTACATGGGCAGGGTTTCTAGGGATGCTTAATTGTTCCTTGTATGAGAGACAGGTGGCATATTTCCTGATTTCTCACCTATGGCCTTTTTCAAGGCAGTAGTATGAGGTAGTGTAGTGGGCCTTCCTGCAGGCTTTTCCAAAGTGGCCATGATCATGTCTTCTTTTCTTGATTGTTTCTTGATGGCTACCTTTTCATTGTGCTCAACTTTGCTGACATTGCCTGTGTTATCCTCCAATGTTTCACCAGTTGTTTCTATTTAGAAAAGTATGTGTGTGTTGAATAACTTGATAAATGACATAATTCACACAATACATGATAATGTTTCAATTGATGATTAGTTTACCTGGTATACTCCATTACAACCAGTATAGAGTAGTGAAAAGGATATGAACAATATATTTAATGGTGTTGGGCTCTGGGGCAATGACATATGGCCTAATTGGCACCATATATTTGAGAGTATTGATTGAAACAAAGGCATAAGCTACCAATGTGCACCCACAGATGATAATCATCATATGAGGATAACCCAATTCACCTGGTAAATAACTAACGAGTAACAGGATTTACTAGTAACTAACAAGAGCAGTATTTTTTTCTAGGATCAAGGTAAACTTCATTTCATCCACATAGACTTATTATATTCTTATTTGCATCATACATGTAAAACCCAGACAATAACTGTTTAAATCGTCATATGACGATAATCGCATTACCCCTTGAATCAACATATGACAATGTCCACTGCCTAAGGGTTAAAAAATACTAAATAACCATATATTAGGAATAAAGTTAATAGTTTTGTCTTTCAACAGTTTCATTGTGAGGATGGAGTAGGTGATTACATTCAGAGAGTTGATGAACCGGAGTCTTGTCGGTATGTAGTTACTGTAGCGACTACTCGTGTTTGCCACCATCCGTACCTGCGACTCCAGATTGTACGAACGCCCCACACCATCTCTTGTGCTCCAGCTCTGACGCAGGAACAATATCATAGATATCTTGCCTACCAGGACAGTATGTTTTATTTAATTTATTCATATGTTAATTTTATCCTATTTATATTTTCTTATATCACCATAGCCTTCTCTTGTGTGGGCATGTATATTGCACTATAACTCAGTGTATATATTACTATAAATATTATAGTGTCAAACAGTTGCTTATTTCTATACAGTACTTCATATAAAAAAGGAATGTAGTTACTGAACTGTCAAATTAAAAATTATGTACCTGCTCTTTTTCCTAAGTAAGGAAATTTGCTTTCATTATCTGGGCAATATTATAAGCTATCATCAGATGATGAGTCACAATAACATGGCTGAAGATACAATGACCAAACCACACACCAGAAGATGAGGAGATGATGATGTTTCCATCTGTCCTGGACCATTATCAAGTCAATTGTGAGGGGAGCGAGGGTGGTACGGGCATTAAGTAAGGCAAGAGTGAGGTGAGGAGCAGGTAAGAAGAGAATTCCTGAAAGAAGGTAAGAGCAAGGCAAAAGGTATAGACAAGAAGGAAGGAAGGTATGGATGGGATGGGTATAATAATGGGGTGATAGAAGAATGGGAACATAAGAATAAGAGGAGAAAGAAAAGGAACGTGAAGAAAGTGTAGGCTTATGTTAGGTCACGTTTGTTAGAAAGGTTAGAGCTCCGGGTTTGGGACTTCAAACCTGGAGACCGCCATGGTCAGGGCCGGAGAAGAACAATCCCAGCAAGGGGCAACAACGATTCCAGCCTCCTGAAGCAGAGCTTCGGCCTCACAAGCCCCAGGAGGTGGACGACCGAGTTCCGCACCTATGGGTTCTAGACAGAGATCATCACAGCCCGCTTCCACCCGAGCTTCCTTTATGACCCAACCGATGGAAGAGTAATAATTATTAATTACAACAATTATTATTATTATTATTATTATTATTATTATTATTATAATAAATTATTAATTATTACTCTATAGTTATTGTTGTTATAACAGCAAAAACACTGATTGATCATAGAATACAGTATAATATACATGTCACATATATGAGCCCCATAATTTTGAGCATAGCGATGTTCCACACATTGAACTACTGTATATAAATTCCACAAATTACACACTTTTGAAGAATATTACAGCAAAAAAACAGAGAAGAAACGAATAAGAGACATTAAAATAATTGTGAAAAATAATATTTGTGGCAATTGCTACCCCACAAGGTGGTGGGGTCGAGTGTCCCCAAGCTCAATTTGCTCAACTTCTCAGCTCCATCATGGCTAAAGTATGTCACATACAATATTTTATTATAATTTCCCATGATCAAAGAGTACATTTTAACAATATAAGAAGATAAAATAATTTTTTGCAAAGAATTTACTTTCGGTGCACCATGTGAATGTCATATTTTAAGGCCGCGCAGCATGGTGGTTAAGAATCTTTAGCAAATAGGTGGAAGTTGTACACTGCATTTAGAAAAATGTGTGACTATATTATCACAGCATTGTTTTAAAGATCTATGGGTGGAAAGGAGTCTGTTTATAGCAATAAAGCACTCTTATATGGATAGTAGACCATATGTGAGAGTGAGGGGGATGATTGTTGGGATGGGTATAGGACAAGGATTGTTTGTATCTCTGGCTAGAAAAATATATCAAGTTATCCTCCTTTGTTACACATGAGCAGTCAATTCATAATAATTATTATGCATTTAAATAAATTTATAATTCATGATATTGAATTGAATTTCCTAATTTTAAAACATGTTATTTTATCTTAACAGAAAAGGTTAAAGAGGAGCAGAGCTTGAAAGAGAAATGGCTAAAACAAAATGAAGAAATTCTTAAAGAGGCAGAATCTGAGGAGAACCAATCTGTTCTCCAGCCAATTAATACCGGCTTGGATGATGAGGATGATGATGATGATGAACTCAAAATGAACATAAAAATTTTCCGGCTCTCTCCTGTCAAAAAACAAAAACTTCAGCAACTGACAGAAGCTAAAGAAGATGTAATGGAAGTAGAAACGGAAATAACACTTGAAGAAAGTGGTAAGCTGTTTTATGGTGTGGTATAATTTTCATGCATAGCCAAAAGAAAGTGGAGTACTGTATTAGAGTTTGATAGGGTAAAGGTGATTGTTGTGATTGCATACTCACTGCATGATGAGAAAAGTGAGATTTTCTGTGGGGCGCCCTGTCGGCTCCCTGAAGCTATCCAAACTGACGTGTGCCATATTAGTCTGTTGTCATCAGACCCTGGAGTTCTGTATGCCTACCAGAGTTCAGAGCCAGAACCTGGTCCACTCAGAGAGGCTGTAATGTAACGGAAAATGAAATGGAAAGAAATGAAAAATGATGGTGTGGGCATGGGATGAGGGAGGTAGAGAGGTGTGAGGAAGGAGTGGTCAGGGGAAAGGGAAAGTTTAGAATGGGAGGGAGAGAATGAGATCAAGGAAAGTAGAAAATAGTAGAGTAGTAGAAAAGGTAGAAGAGTAGAAAGTAGAAGTAGAGAATGTTGAAATGAAATGGTTAAAGATAAAATTGCTGCCACCATCCATTCTGGTAAATCATATACAAGACAAGGAATGGAATTTGTCTGTACCACAATATTCTCATGTTAGCATGTACGTTTACATTAAAATCTTAAAACCAGTAACCTCAGAGGGCTCTCTACTCTTGCCCCAACTGACAAAGATCAAGGGAACAACATTAGTCAATTTATAACAAAAAGTTAATTAATTATGTATTTACTATCAGATCTTCACTCATATGGATATCATAAGTTAATCAGGTTATTTAAATGTCAACATGAATACATAAATTATGGGTCATTCCATGTGAATTCATCAAAGGCCTTCCACTCAACCCTTCTAAATCTAATGAAATTTTGTAATAAAGTAGTCCTAGACCCCAAATGAAATTGTGCAAAATATTAGAGCTCAATCTGCTTTGGTTCTTAAATAATAGGTCCATGTTCAATGGGCTCTCATCCCATTAATACGTACATATCGTAAAAAGGGCCAACTTTGACCCTTTATCAAATCATGTCTAGTGCCCAGAGAGGTATGAAATTTGGCATATCAGGACAACTTTTGGTGTAGAATACAGCAGTATAATTAAAAAAGTAGTTTGGGTAGCCATTCAGCTACCAATCCATGCTAAAATCACTGTCAAATTTTGTCGTGAGAAATTTGGACCCTAATTTGAAGACTACTTACTTATCACCAAAAGGTCTAAATGCCATGATCTTTTACAACGATGTATAACAAGCACAATATTATGCAGTGATGCAATAGCAACTCTGTTGTATCCATATGTCCAGAGGTGGCCCACTTGAAAGTTGGGCAAAAAAAATTCTTGTGCAAAACTAGCCAACATTCAAGGCAAAATATCTCAATATGCGTCATTCCCAATTTGGTTTTGAATGAGACCATTGGAGCAGATTTTTCTGTGCAAAAGTAACTTTTATTTAGGTTGGGATCTGAATTCCTAGTTCAGCCAGAGGACTGAAAATGACACACCTTGGTGCAATATCGAAGAAAAAATAAAATTATGATTAGCCCATTGCGGAGTCTTTCGCCACTAGGTCTGTTTGGTACACACCCTCACTCTAACGACTTCGTACCTGGCTCGGGACGAAGCGTGACATTCGTCAAAATGATGCCAAAACACCATGAGTGACTCTGTCTACCGAGATTCCCACGAATTTCTATGGGAAAACTGCCTTGAACACTGGCAATATATTCCCAGATCACTCCACTGCTACAAGACACTAGCAGGAGATCAGATAATCTAATTGATAACTAAGATGGGAACTTATGAGTCTGTTGCCTGCTCGTATGAACTTTACCCACTTCTCACGATCTTTTCAATACACTCCCTTGCTATCGCATGCAAATATGACGAGTTCCTGGATTCTGCTGTATTCCTACGGACCCCCGCCAAAGTTGGTGGAAAATGGAGATGTATTAGGAGCATCTATAAACAGTAGTTTCACTTGGCTGGCCAACCAGTGAAACTACATCTTACTAGGCTAGAGGGGGGCGCAGAATGGCGGCTTCTCTCTTCGGTCTCCCACGTGACTGCGTTGCTCGAGCATGCACGGCGTGGCGTCTACAAGTTGCCAACTAAAAAGCCCACCTGAACCTCTAGATACTCTGCTATTAGTGAGTAATACTAACGAACATAATTATAACTTAAATGTATATAACACTGCTAAGGTGTAAATAAGAAATTAAGTACAATCAGTAAGCAGGAATAATTACAAGGGTGAATCAGTAACGCTAGCTGGATACACTACACACATACTGGAACATCCCAAATATGGATATCCCCCCATGAAATACCACAGGAATGAACATGCAATAGTATTAACAAATATTCAATACAGGCACACTACAGCATGCTACATTTAAATTAAAAATATATGTAATGGAACATAACTGGATACAATGTTTTAATAAAATAACTGAGGATAAAAAAATATTGGACATACATATTTATCATGATGAATGTTAGAATCAAATACATCGATTTGTAACATATGACAAAGAGTGCTGGGGAGACGGGACACCTTGAGCGTAGCTCTCATCCTGTAACTACATTTAGGTAATTACGTGTTAATTTCTTCGTGATTTACACACACACACACACACATGAGGGGTGAGACCTCAGATTGGCGTGAAGTCATCAGTGGAGTCCCACAGGGTTCTTTATTCGGATCTATCCTGTTTCTGATATACGTAAATGATCTTCCAGAGGGCATAGATTCATTCCTCTCAGTGTGTGCTGATGCTGCCAAAATAATGAGAAGAATTGAGACAGAGGAAGACAGCTTGAGGCTTCAAGAAGACCGGGTTAAGCTGAAGAAATAGTTAAAGAAAAGGTTGTTAAGAGTTTACAACCGAGAGGTTGTTACGGCCCTCTCGGGACGCAACGGGGTTCTTACTCTGATGTAGTTAGAGGAAGATATATATCCGGCCCCAAGCCAGTAGAGGCTATCAAGGGATGCGATCCGTGACGCAAGTAACTTAAAGGGAGTAGGGAAAGAAAGGTAAGAACTTAATATAATATAATATAACCATCACCATTTAAATATATAAAAGTAAAACGTACACAAGGGGGAGGGGTATTAACACTTTACAAAGGGGATCAACACTGTAGTCTTCTACTGGAGACTATGGATCCTCGAAGCTAGGTGCTGAGTCCGCGGTGCTTTCTTCGTGGCCTCAAGACGTGTCCTCTGAGAACGCCGAGTCTACCCTGGCCACAGGTCAGCCACAACACAGGTCCACTGGGGGCACCGTCGTGGAGGCCGTCATGCAACCACACGTCCAGCAGGTCTGCTGGCAGGTACTGAGCCACCAAGGCTGGTACGGCCACTCCACGGACGATAAAAGGGGTATGCCCTAGACAGGAGTCTCGTGTGATATCACCAATCACCCTCCTGTCCTCAATACCCCAGTGGATTATCGTCTCCAACCGTCGGTCCCGGGTAAATCCTTTAACTGCCACTCCAATGGCCGGCTAACACACCACAGTGTTCTTCCGGGGGGGGGGCGACGTCACGACAGCTGCAGCAAACTTCACTGTATGGAGACTGGCTGCCTCGGGTAGACTGACTACACCTTCAACACAGTGGTCCCAGGTTGGCTCTGTAAGCAGACACGTCATTAATAACCGGGACACTAATACACCACACTCACAGGCTCAGATACAAACGCCCGACATATCCACTCCCTAGATGGCGCTGTCGTTGGAGCACCACCTCACCAGAGGTCAGGAGCGGCGGTGTTGAGCGCTGAACCAGACTGGAAACTGGTCCTCGAGGCCAGTACACGCTGTCCTCACTAGGTGTCGTCGTTCGTTTGGCGGGGGTTTCGGGAGCTGACCCACAGATGGCGTGTTTGTCACTGCTCCAGGCACGGACGCTGGATCCGGGTTCGTAACACCCGAGCAAAAGTAATGCAATGAAGATACATCAGGCTGCCGCAGCCAACAGCCTGGTTGACCAGTCTAGTAACAAAGAGGCCTGGTCGAGGGCCGGGCCGCAGCTATGCTAAGCCCCGAAATCATCGCAAGGTAACCGCAAGATAAGGTAAGGAGGGGGGGGGTTGATATCACGCCAGACCTGTCCCTAAGCCCATATCAAGAAGATAACATCAGCATGATATGCAGGTTGGCCTGCATTTACCTTGCCCCTCTTGGATAATTTTCCCAATTAGGTTCGAGTTGTTTTCTACACAAACTGTTAATTGAAGTTATGCTATTGATTAAATTTTGTTTTATGATCGTATAGTTTACAAAGTTTTATCTTGAACATTTCAGATTCTCACTTAGCTGAAGAAATCAAATTATCAACTGATGAGATACCAAATACTGGAGACAATGCACAAGAATATGATGAGATTACCAGCAGTGAAAGTGAGAAAAATACAAAGATTTTAAAGGAAAATATTGCTAAAGTAAATGAAGAGGATGAGGAAAGTTTTGTCTCAGACTTGCAATCCCAGGAGCTTTTGCAGCTTTTGGATGAAAATGAAGATTATTCAGACTTACCTGATGAAACTTCCATGCATGAAGACAGTATTGATATTGATCATGAGGTAAGGCTTTCAGGTGTCTGCAGTTGCATTATCAGGCAGTTTGGATTAGGTATCTTCTCATAGTTTGTTATATTTATAACAAAATATAATTTTTGTTTGTTATATTAATTTTTATTATTTTTCTTTAGACTATAAGAATTAACAAATCTGCAGAAGGCCTATTAACCCATGCACAGCAGCCCCATACTGTATCTAACTACTCTAATATTTTCAACTGATGCCTTAAACTTTCCAATGAGTTAGCTGCTACGATGCTACTTGTTCCCTAGATCTGCAATCCCATATCTTCACTAGTGTGTGTTCATATCTATTCTAAATCAAAACTTATTACAATTGTATCCATTTTTTCATGTTTTAACTTGTTGATATATTTTTCTTGTTTATAGCAGCCTTGATAAATTCTTTAATCAATTTGTACACTTCAGTTATGTCCTTTCATTTATATATAAATTCATAACATGTGTAAATTAAGATTTCTTTAAATTAAGGTAGCTCTTCTACGGAAGTTTCCTAATTCCCAGGATTAACCTTGTTATCCTCTTCTCAATACTTACTGTTGAATTCATGTACGATATTATGGCGTCCAAAATTCTACTGCATAATCCAAGTGGAGTATCTCAAAGAGTAAGGTTAAACTGATAGAAAACATTAGTTATTATTTCTATTATTATTATTATTTTTATTTTCTAGAGGAGCCCCGTCGGTTTCCTGAAGCTATCCGAACTGATATGTGCTATTAGTTTTGGGTCATCAGTCACAGGAGTTCTTATGCCTTCTGGGAACCACAAGCCTGGGAACTTGGTCCCCTCAGAGAGGCGCAGGGAGAAATGGCGTATGAGCACTTCACATTTAAAGTGCAGTACAGTATGTCATATTCCGCCATTGACCAGGGTGCGCACCCAGAAAGGTAGGCGAACCAAAATGAACAACTAGCTGGTAAAATTCCAACCTACAGCCAGAAAGAGCAAATAAACTCTACAGACTAGTTTAAAAGAAACTAGCAACCCTGCTCGCAACTAGTACTCCCACTCATTAGCATATCTCCTCTCCCCTCAAAAAGGGGAAGGGGGAGCTGGCTCAGGACCCCAGTTCTAGTCCTGATGTACTGGCAGTCTTTCAGTCAGCTCTGGCCTCAAGTTCCTGTTCTGGATTTTGCCCTATGTGGCTGTTCGAGCTGTGTGCGTTTGTGGTAATCTTGAAATGATTTCGGGGCTTAGCATCCCCGCGGCCCGGTCCTCGACCAGGCCTCCATTTTGTTACACACCCCCAGGAAGCAGCCCGTAGCAGCTGTCTAACTTCCAGGTACCTATTTTCTGCTAGGTTTGGTTTGCCTGCGTCAGGCTTTCTGGGTACCTGACCCGGTCGGTGGCAGACATGGAATGCTTCCAACCACACGGGGGTTTCTATAGGCCATTGCTCCTCGTGCCTCTTCTGAGGGGGCCAGGTTCTGGCTCGTGATCCCCGGTAGGCCAACAGAACTCCATACACATGACTGATGCTAAAGTCTGACATTAGCATATCAGCCCAGATAACTCCAGGGAGCCTCCAGGTCTCATCCAAAAAATGGGGTTTCATTACATTCAATGCTGGTTTTTTTGGACTCTTCTCTGATACACATGTTCCCCATATTTCATATAATGAGCCAAATTCTAGTGCTGGCTCTCAGTAGGCTCAAGTGGGTTTCAACAATTTCGAGAAGTGAGGCAAACCTCGAATACAGAATCAAATTTTACGAAGAAATTGAGCTGGCACAATGGAGCTGGTACAATTGAGCTGGTATAATCAGCTGGTACAGCTAATACAAGGCCTGGTACAATTTCTTAAGGCTCTGCAGCTCCAGTGCTTTAGCTAGGAAAGCTGTTGCAACAAAGTCTATGTTTAAAGCTGTGAGAGGTAGATGATATATTGAACTAATTTCCAGTCTGGAGAATCATATCTATTAGAAGAAGATGAATTAGAAGATGACACTGATGATGATGATGATGATGCAGATGAAACAGAGGCAGGAAGACAAGCATCAAAGTCAACAAAGAGGGATCATTTTTCAAAGCTTCAGCGACGACTAAAGCAACTTGGGAAAATGTTTATGAATCAGGTAATTGTATTACAAAGTATTATTAATATTTTTAATTCTCTGTCTGGTAGAGATTTTGTATATACAATATTTAAAATTAAATCTTAATCTAATACTGTATGGACATTATATCTCTTAGAAAACAAAAATTATAGTGTTTTTGTGTGATAATGTCAGGTTTCTAGTTCTGCTTTCCCACAGTTGCATTTGTAACGTATCTTTACGTGTACGTGTTTTTGTGATAAGACACAAAGAATATAGTGGTTTCTTATATTTATTTAGTATAGTCTTGGTTACAGCTGTCAGTTTGTTGGCAATGTAGTGAAGTGTTATAGTAGTAGAGATGGAGCCTGGAGCAGGGAGGGAGCTGAGGCCGGGGATAGAGGGCTCGGATGCGGGTGAGTGCATAGAGTGTGGTACTCTAAATGTGGGTGGAGTCGAAGAGGTCAAATATAGGATGAAAGTGTGGAAGCTCGATGCGACCAGAATCTTACTGTCTGCTTTGTGTAGTGGCTGATGAGGGTAGGAACTGGACTCGTCAAGTGTTACATTGTTGCTGGTGAATGTTGAAGATGTGTGATGTATGTGAAGCGTTTGAGTTAGACTGACGATGATTCACTAAAGAGGGCTTATATTACAAGCTTCCCCCTCACCTAGGCCAAACTGACCAACATCTGGTAGGTTACCTGTCGGCTGGCCTGGTCGATCCTGTACCCTTGGGAAGAGATATTAATTGTAATGAGTTGTGCACTTGGGAATTGTAATTAGTGGACCATGGATTAGTATATAACTTCTAGGAATGTAGAACACTTAAAGATAGGTTATGTACCTTACCTTGAGGTTACCTTGAGGTGCTTCCGGGGCTTAGCGTCCCCGCGGCCCAGTCGTCGACCAGGCCTCCTGGTTGCCGGACTGATCAACCAGGCTGTTGGACGTGGCTGCTCGCAGCCTGACGTATGAGTCACAGCCTAGTTGATCAGGTATCCTTTGGAGGTGCTTATCCAGTTCTCTCTCGAACACTGTGAGGGGTCGGCCAGTTATGCCCGTTAGTTATGTTAGTTATGCCAGTTAGTTATGTAGAATTAACAGACCGATTTTATTATTTGTCCTTAACTTAATGAGAATATAGAGCAAGTATATTACTTATTAATATACTTGTAACACATTCATTGGACAGAATCATGCACAGTAAATACATTCATTTCATTCTTACTCAGTATAAATACATTGTAAAGTTACATTAAACAATTAAATTAAGAGAATGGTTGGCAACTGCCCTGTATTGTGGAGTTGTTTACGAGTGAGTGAGTAAATAAGATAAAACTTTATCATAGGTAAATAGATAAAAATTATCCGATTTTGTTCAAATAAAGCTTCAAGGATTGGTAATGGTCTAGGCTTTCTTGTGGTAACACAATCAACATGGGGCAAACCTAAAAAAAAGGGGGGAAATAGCTTCTATGCATTTTCAAATTCAGTTTAATTTCTTTATCCCTCAAATGCTTTCCAGCCAGTGAGCTGTGACCAATATATGCACTAAGGTAAACTGTTACTAACAGGCTTTTGAGTGTTCATGATGTTTCAGCCAGTTTCTTAGTTTTCTGAGCAAATAGTAGCAAATTGGTGACCAGCAGTGGAAGTTAGAATGGTTTGTGTTGCTGGTTCACCTAATCCTGTCATCTGTTGCCTCACCTTCACATGTGGAGTCCAAGGTATCTTGTGGGCCCTACAGGTTAAGCCTTGGCCCATTTCATGGAAAATAGTTGTCCACTTTAGCTGTTTATCCCTTCTCATCCAGTACTGGATCTTCTAAGAATTGGCACTCTGAGTACAGACTTCTGCTTCATACTGTGTTAGAAGCAGCAGGACTGGTTACTGTTTTTGGGTAGGCTATCATGACTTTCCCCTTTAATATGGGCCCACCACTGCTGTTTGCAGATTCATGGGATACAGTTCAGTGTTTTCTAATACTGATATGCATTTCTTTTGTCGCCATCTTTCAGCCTGTTAAATGTGGGTTTTCTTCTTAGGTTTGTGGCATTTATTGGTGCAGTCCTGTTTGGATCAAGCCACCTTCTAAGTTGGCGTCCTCTCCAGTTGCAGCTGTTTTGAGTGATAGTGCTTTCTGCTCCCAGCTTCAGTGGCTCCCTCTCATTGGCTGAGAACTCTGTTGTTGATTTCTCACTGTTCTATAAGTCAGATTTAGTGCAACTTCTTTTGGTCATTTGTGCCAAGTTTCCATTTTCTTCTGCTTCAGCTATCTTGAAACTGCTTCCTCCATATTCTGTTTTTTCAGATTTCTTCCTTGATTTGGAGATTCACTGACTGTCAATCGAGGATTTACAGACTCCATTGGACATAGTTGTGAACAGTGGTTTCAGGGGTTACCCACTCTGGGATCTTGTTAGAGGCTACAGGACCTACTTTCCTTCTCCTACATTGATAACTAGAGAGTTGCTTCAGTACTTAGTGAATTATTGAGTACTCAACCACAGGAAATGCTTAAATTGCTTTTATAATTACCACACATATATGTAATTTGTATTACATGGTAAATCTTTGGTATAGGTGCAGTATATCAAATGTCCAAGTATTTAGATATTACTTACAGATTTTATTATATCTCAGCACAGGGTTGGAAGCCAGTTAATATGGAACATTCTGCTATATAATGTAAAAGAGAATTCTCGTTTTCTCTTTCACAAAGTTGGCACATTGTTTATTGTTTGCACTTGATGTTTAGAAAAGTTGCCAGATTCATCTAAATCCTAGGCATTTTCTGGCCTCAAAAACAGCACATTGCTGAGTTCTTGATTTATTAGTTATTATATATGACTTGCCATTCTAATGTATTATGTATTATGTTAGGAAAATAGGCTATTTATTGTACAAATATTAAAGAGATAATAGGCTTTTGTAAGTTGTCATTATATGTTGTCACAGGAAGCAAATAGTGACAGAGGAGGAGATAAGGGTAAAATTGAAGAGCTTCAACAAATGGTTGACACTATCAAAGATGGACATATTAAGCAGTTGGAACATGAGGTTAGGGAATGGACGAAGAAGCTTCGAAGTAAGGTATGTTAACATAAATTTACAGCACTGATGCAGTTTTCACTAGGCCCTTTCACTGTAAAGGGCAATTAATTCAATTTGTTTTGTGTTCTTAACATGTGCTACTACAGTTGTGCTTATCTGTACCTTCTTTTCTGTTAGAATTGTGTAGATGTAAGTGTTTTTAATTAAACTCAATTAAAAAGTTTCAGGTATTAATATCTTTACTACTAGTATAGAACCCACTGGTTTTATATCCTACCTAACATGCCTGCCTTGAAGGTACAGGTACAGTTGTAACATTTCGTGTCATTCATCTCTTCCTCTTAATAAAGCATTAGGGGAGTGTAATGTCTGTCAATGATAATTTAGCTTGTATTCATATAGGTTATCTCACCTGGGGTTCTTTGTCTTGGAATGCAGGTAAATCAGCATTATTTTGTTGTTCAACATTTTTTTGCTTGTTCATTATACTTAATACCCTAATTAAATTTCAAGGGGTGTGAATCATTTTGAGAAATTCTCTCTTAAAATTGAAAGTGATGGAGGCTCTTCAAAAAAGCTTGATCATCATCAATTGCTAGTCGTGTGTAAAGTACATTTCATTCATAAACAGGGCGAAGTGGCTGCTACATTGATTTTATTTAGGTTCCATGTTTTGAGGACAGGTTGCAAACAGGGCTACTTGCTAATTGTAGCTCACCAGCAAAAAATTTATAAGGAAGCACAATTTTTGTTGAGCCAATAACAAAGTGCCTCCAGACAGTGGCCATTCATGCCAGGCTCTACTCTCGGCTCGGGACACTTAACTTAATGCATCAAAACAGTAAACATTCAGGCCATCAAACAAGTAAGCTGATTGTTGTAACTGGTGAATATAATAACATTTCATTGAAGCATCATTGTTGAAGGTAAAACCTAGATGCAGTATATTTAAATTAGTATAGCACTTAATTTTATCCTTTCATGTTTCACTCTTTGATTTCCCACCCACATTTATTTCCATTAACATTTTAAGGTTTTGTTAATTAAGCACTCATAAATTCTATATTGTATTATAAATTGTCTCCACAACTACTGATATCATTTGATCATTTGCATACATTACTATCTCCAATTTCACCATATCTATATCTGTAAAATAGAATGTGTCTGTCTGTCTGTGTCTGTCTAATGTAGGAGGCCAGACAGTTTGGGCTAGTCTCGCCCAATTTTCCAGGATGGCACATGGTGGGTAGGTGAGTGTCATAGTCCAGTTGGGGTCGACACCAATGCTATTCTTAAAGAAAGTGACCCTTTGCCATTTTCATGGTTTAAAATCAGAGATATTTTCCACTGAGTTTTTAGTAGTTTTATGTGCTTTGTAACATTGAATTTTTGAGAGAGGGAGGAAATGAATGAGGAAGAGAGAGATCCAGGCACAGCTAGATACTCCCTCTAGTTTTTTTAATTTTGTACATTGAGTAATCATAATGGTTTCATCAATCTTTATTTCCAGACTTGTACATTAATTGTGGGCAATAACCTCTCTCATTATCTTATTAATAACTACATACGTAACTTTTGCTTCATATTTAAGTTTATATATATATATATATATATATATACTGTATATATATATATATATATATATATATATATATATATATATATATATATATATATATATATATATATATATATATATATATACATACATACATATATATATAAATATCATACTGCTACATCTGATCTGTTTCATAATGTTGCATTCTATAGGATATGCTTCTTGGTATGGTTGAAGAAGATCTGGAGGTGGAGGAGCAAAGATTAGGGTCAGCACTTTCATCACTGATGGAGGCTCTAGATGAGGCTGAAAACAAGTTGTCTACAGTAAGTAAAATCCTAGCCATGAAAGTTTTAGAAAAGATGTTTATTAGGTAGAAATTTGATTTTGTGAGCAGTGTCAAATGATTGTAAATAAGCTGGTATTGTACTACAGCATTATATCAAAATAAGGCCAAAAATAGTATGCATTAGAATTATAGTGGCTTTAGTTTATCATGTATTTTACAAAGTGTATGTCTTTGGCCAAAGGTGGCCAAAGTGTATGTCAGGTAGTGATTTAAATAGTACATGAAATTATAGAAAAGTCTGTCTCTGATGAAAATACTAGGTTCCATTGTTTTATATGTTGTATGAATCGGATACAGTACAGTATTTGCATTGAGATAGCTAGTCGAGAAGGTAATGTGAAAAAGATTGTCTGGTGTATATGGCCATAGTAGATTTGATAAGTCATGTCTCATTCATAGCAAAATTAGAAAAACATAATATTTCTGTGAGAAAATATTGAAACTGTTCGACTGTACTGAATCTGCATCCCAGAATGTGTGCGCTGGAGGAGTTCATGGTTGCATGCTCAATCCCATCATATACCTTCAATATTTTCTCATATCAGAGAAAATCATTGGTATAAGATTGTTTTTCCAAGACTCGTTAATGGAACTAGATTATGCATGTAGTCATTTAATCTGTGAGTTAAAGAGCAACTGCCCAGGGACCAACTGCCATTTTGGGCTTAATTTATGTGGGGAGCCCCTTTGGTTCCCGAGCTATCAGGCTGATATGTGTTATATTAGCCTAGGGCATCAGTCAATAGGAATTCAGCCTACCGGGTACCACGAACCAGAACTTGGCCTCCTCAGAGAGGCAAAGGGAGCAATGGCCTACTGAAACCCCCATGTATTTGGGAGCATTCCATGTCTGCCATTGATCAGGGTTGGCACCCAGAAATGTAAGCATAACAAAACAGACCCTACAAGGTAAGAAAATTGCAACCAAAGACCAAAATGATAGGCAGAGCTCTCCCCCCCCCCCCCCCCCCCCACTTAAAAGAACAAGCAACCGTCTCACTCGGGCACTGCTTTCTGTGCCTCCCCCAACAGACCCCCCTCCCCTCCCACTCCCCCTGAAGGGAGAGGGGAGAGCCTCGGACCCCTCACGCCGGCTACCCAACAACTTTGGTTCGTAGACTTATGTAGTCAGGGGCAGACATTGACTCTGGCTTCAGATTCTAGACAGTTGTGGTGGACAGTTGTGGAACTCACCTTAGTAGTGAGTTCTGCTGTGTGTGAGGCGCAGTGGCCAGGAGCACTTGAGAGTACTGGGGCTGCTTGTGCTTAGGGTTCTCTTCCTTGTGCCCTGTAAGTTCTTGTGCCCTGTAAGTAAGTGCCCTTGGGTTCTAGCAGATTGTGGTCTCAAGTGTTGTCTTTTTGAGTCAGGCAATCTCAGTTCTCTGTTGTTGTGGGCTCCTTGCTGTTGACACTCCTCCTCGAGAGGTTTGCTGATCTGGTCCTGTTGGTGTGCCGCTTGCTACTGGGAAACGGTGCTGGTGCTCATTTGCATCAATGTGCATGTGTTGGTGGCAATAGCGATATCTTTCATTTTTTATTCATCCTGCTTCTCTTTCTGGCGATTCTTGTTCTGCAGATCATTCACCTATGCTTCATGGACTCTTGCAGGCTCTCCATTGATTTTCATGTACAGTATGGCTTTATTATGGCAGATTACTCTGCTTCCCTTATGGAAGACAGTTGTCAGAGGTCCTTATCCAATATTTGAGTGCTTTATCCTGCATGCAACATGAGGTAGCTTGGCGAGACTCGTATACAGTATATCTGCCGCGTGGCTATTCTTCTTATGTCATTTCCTCTTGTTATGTCTTTTCTGACTCGACTCCTGAGCACCATCTCATAATCAGCACTCTTGCTTCCTACTGAATCCTCTCCTTAGTTTTAGGATGGATTTGTCCTCTCCTCCAGTTTTGAAGCTTGGGTATTTTTTATATTCCCTTCAAGGTTCATTAGAACCCACTTAGTATAAGTTTTTCATAAATTTATTGAATATGTAGGGTATGAGGAAAGGCTTGGTTTTATAAACATTTAGCCCATTTCCCCCCTATATTGCACTTCCATTCTTTCTGAACAAGGACCCACTTGTCCCTTGAAAATGTGAAATGCAGTAATGCTAATTAATGATGATATTTATTCAAGACCTCCAGAATACTCAAATATTTCTTAATACCCAGTTTGCTTTAAAAGTTTGTAATATTTTCAGCGTATTTGATTCTCTGATCATTTTTCCTTTTGTAATCTATTTCTTTATCATGTAAGCTCCCCTCCTTATCTTGGTTTATAATTATTTCAGGCTAAGAAGGAGATGGAAACATTAGAAGAATTTCTTGATAGTCAGCTTAAAGAAATGGAAAGCTCGACAAGCGAGAATATCCAAAGGTTTGCTGTAGAGGAGTCCACCCACCAAGATGGGGTAGACAGAAACTCACAGGACCCCATAGAAGGGATGTCCCAGGCCTCTCATATTCCACAGGATCCTTTAGAAGGTACATCATTCCAGAACGCTAATGTTGTCCCATCCCACAAGGATAAAAAAAAATTCCAACGCCAGTCTGTCACTCCCAATTCCTTGATATCCACCACTTCCCTGACTTCTATCTTTTCCTCTTCATCTGCTGATTTTTCTACATCTCTTTCTTCCTCTTCAAAAAGCTCTTCTTCATCTACTGTGCAGAAGCACAACACTTTTTCAGGTAATCCTAATTCTAAGTCTGCTGCATCAACTTACTCATCAGCATCCCTCTTGAAGACATCTACAGATAGGTCTTCATCTTCCTCTGCCTCTTCACTTACTGGTGGTCTTTCAACTGATTCACATATTCAGCACACAGCAAATAAAGAAAAATTCTCAAAACGCAAAAAGAGAAAACTACCACGCACTATGATAAGTTTTGGAGCAGAACAAGGTAGAATCCCTCTACTGTACACATATATTATCATGACATTAATGCATGAAATTAATGTAGCAGCTTTAATATTTATGTAACATTCCTTGTAATCAGTTTATTTTTTCTACCCTGATATTACTGTATCGGTTATTATTTCTAACCAGGGCGCCTTTGGTAGCTTTCCTGAACCTTAGCACTGGGTCCATCCAGATCACTGCTAGCTTACCAGACCCTGAGTAATTTTGCATCTCATCAAGAAAAATAACATTGTAAATAGTTTTGTTTTGTAGTTTATGGGAGAGGAACACAGTGAATAGCATACCTCAATCCAATGCCAAGTGAAATGGCTTGCTATGACACCCAAGAGGTTTCAAACCACTTGACACCCTCTCTGCACAATCCTTTGGACCTTTAGGATTAACTGAGCATCTTTCTGAAACTTAAATAATTATTAACAGCCTACTACTCTTGGTGGTGGGTTTGTAGTATGGTCTCTACTGTGCTCTTTACCCATACAGTAGTTTACAAAACTACTTAGAATTCAAACCACAAAATAAATATATCAACATCTCTACGAGAAAAGAATGCAAAGATCAAACAATCCAACTAATGCATGGAACAGGCAAACTACACCTACCACAACTCTCCCAGCCATCACCACGTGACAGCCTAGGTCACTATCAGTCCAAGTCTGCTGCCCCCACCCTACTTACTGTCATGCCTATTGTATCATAGTCCCCATCAGTACTCTTGCTGGATACTAGACATTGTTTACAGACAAGTTATTTGACATTCCTTCTGAATCTGTACAGTGCAAGGGCTTATTATATATTTCATGGGTGTTTCCCAGATCACCTTGTGTGTCCCTTGCTGATTAGCTTTGCTTTGATGTTTATTTCAAGGTTCTTTCCTGGCAACTTCAGCAGGGATAGTGAGGGGGTTTTTGATCTTGCTAGGCTGCTTTCCTTTCACTCTTCTTCGTCCTTCCTCCCCCTCCCAATACTCTTACTTTTCCTTTACCTCTGCTCCAGATGTGGGGCATTAGGAGAAGCTCTGCATTACTTGGTTTCCACGGGGAACCTCGGGGTGTCGGGCTGTGGGCCTGATACTTTCTGGCCTCCCTTTTTTTCTCCTGTGCTGTGAGTCTGCTTTGGAATTCTTGCACCCACTTGTCTGCACTGCCACTGTTCTTGTTTGTATCCCCCAACTGTTCCACGAGATTGTGTTTATTCCCAGGCTGAGAATGTGTGCTTGGCTCACCTGAAATGTGCAGCTTCTTCCCGGGCTTTGTGCCTAGTAGTAGTCGATCTGTGCAATTAGAGGGACCTGGCTGTGGAACAGGCTCAACCTTGAATGTGTGTCCTGTTATCCCAGTCGTTATCTTGAGGTTATCTTGAGATGATTTCGGGGCTTTAGTGTCTCCGCGGCTTGGTCCTCGACCAGGCCTCCACCCCCAGGAAGCAGCCCGTGACAGCTGACTAACACCCAGGTACCTATTTTACTGCTAGGTAACAGGGGCATAGGGTGAAAGAAACTCTGCCCATTGTTTCTCGCCGGCGCCCGGGATCGAACCCGGGACCACAGGATCACAAGTCCAATGTGCTGTCCGCTCGGCCGACCGGCTCGTGAGTTCAGTTGTTGCTGGTCAAGAAGTTGAGTTGAGTTCAGTTGTTCAAAAATACACTTCAAGATATTCAGCTGTGTGCTCATCTCTTCCTGGGTTCTATGCCCCAGCTCTTGTTTGCCTTTATGACTCTGGCTGTTTTCTGAATATCCGGACTCCTCTGATGAAGCTTTATCAGGAGATAGCATCAGAGAGCTAATGAGGGTACCTCCTATAAATTTAAGATTGAATGTCTTGTAATTCCTCTCTCTGGTGGGCCACTCAGTATCTTCCCATTCCTACCCTGTTATCTTTAATTCCTTGGAATTACAAGTGGCTCTTTGGTAGCAGTTTGGAATTGGCAGATTGACTGGCCATTACTCCAGGATGCTTGGGTTACACATAACAGTGAGTGTATCAAGGTGGTAATGTTACTGCAGTAATGATTGTTAGCAGTGTTTTTGAGGCTTACATTTTTTTCCAAGCAGTTGTCTGTTTTGGAATACTTTTGGTTTCTGGTGGGGGATTTCTTGGTTTCTGTAGTGATCTCTGTTTCCCAGGCTCTCCTTCTCTTCTTTGAGTGAGCCACATTCTGGTTCTGGTTCTCAGGTGGCACTCATGGGTCTATAGGCCTGGTGTGTTTGTCCTTGGTTTAGTCATTGCCAAGTTGTAGCATCAGGAAGCTACTGAGCGGCCCACCAGAGAGAGACATGCCTTTAAGTTCAGTTCTGGATTGATGTTTTTTATTGCATGCTCTCACAATTTTATTTATGCATGTTTTTAGCCCAATGTTCCCACTAACATGCTTCTGAGTTGCAAACCTTTCCTCAAGTTATTGTACTATTACTTGTAGACACATTCAGGATTGAAAACAATTTTACCTCACAGTACTAAGAATAAGGCAGTAATTGTTATAGGTTATCAATGGTATAATTTACTATACAATGCATTCCCACTTTTGTGTGCAAGTTACAGCAATATAAGAAATCAGTAATGTTACATATACAAAATCTTTTCTAAAGCACCTTAGTTTACTCTGTTGTACTACTCTACTGCAAATATAGATGTAACAGTAGTTAATAATAATTAATTATACATTTTATGTGGAGAGCCCCTTTGGCTTCCTGGAGCTATTGGACTGATATTGCATCTATTAGCCTGGGGCTTCAGTCAGTGGAGTTCTGCCTACCGGGGACTACGAGCCAGAATCTGGCCCCCCTCAGAGAGACGTAGGGAGCAATGGCCTAAGGAAGCCCCACTATTTTTGGGAGTATTCCATGTCTGCCATCGATCAGGGTTAGGCACTCAGAAAGATGGGCATCCCAAAACACACCCCACTTGATAGGAAATTGCAAACCCAAGACCGAATAGAGAACCAGAACTTCCCCAAAAGAAACAAGGAAATAAGCAAACGTCATCAACCTGCTGCGCTGCTTGTCCACACACACCCCATCCCGGGAGGGGAAGCCCACTTTCCCAGTTCATAGACTGAAGCTGTCTGGGGCAGTTGTCAATTCTGGCCTCAGTTTCCTGCCAGGATTTGTGCCTTTGTGGTGTTACCTGCTGTTTGTGGTGTGGTAGCCAGGAAAAATTTTAGTACTGGGACTGCATGCACTTAGGGCTACATTCCCTAAGCACCCTGTAAGTTGTACCCTTGGGGTTCTAGGGTTATCTTCCCTGGGGCCTTCAGGACCACATTCCCGTAGGGGTTCCTGCTTCTCGGCATTGACCCCCGCCCTGTAAGAGAGACCCTTGTAAATGTAAACAAAATATATAAATGTTTAAAAAGGAGATTCAGTACAAGAAAATATAGAGAAACAAGAATGTTAAATGTAGAAAAACAGCCTGGAACATTATAAGACATATAAATGAACTATTGGGAAATGTGTATGACATGTAAATGGATGAAACATTATTGAAACCGAGCAGTTTGAGACTTGTACAAGCTCTCTCGTTCACTTGGTGTGGAGCAGAGTCAAGGAAAGGACCCTCGTCACGAGTGTGACTTGTGATGGTTTCCTACAACAACAATAAGTGCATTATATCAGAGTATAGTGATGTTCCCTTTTTGTATGAGTTAGGAATAGGAAGTCTTAAGAATTAAGGTTATTCATAGAACCCTGTGTGTAGGTGGTGTTTTGATGTTATTAATTCATTTACTCAGATCTCTGTGAATGTGGTTTTATCCCCCTTTACTCTGTCCACCCCATTTTGTATATTGTGGTCAGAACAATTTATTGATAAAACCCATGACCTTTGTAGTCACCCAGTTGTATAGTAATAACCTTAAGTCCCAGTTTGTGAAGACTTTGCTTGTTGTGGGGATCCATATGTAAATTCACCCCTAAGGCTTGTGTTTGCTTGAAGGTTACCTTGAGGGTTACCTTGAGGTGATTTCAGGGCTTAGCGTCCTCGCGGCCCGGTCGTTGGCCAGGCCTCCTCGTTGCTGGACAGGTCAACCAGGCTGTTGGACGCGGCTGTGAGCAGCCTGACAACAGTCTTGGGCCTCTGATGTTGATAGTTCTCTCTCAATAGGTACTCTCTCAGAGTACCTATTGCATCTCTGCTCCTCAACAGGGGTATTCTGCACATCCTGCCATTCCTTCTGGTCTCATTTGGTGTTATTTCTGTGTGCAGGTTTGGGACCAGCCCCTCTACTATTTTCAATGTGTAAATTATTATGTATTTCTCCCGCCTGCGCTCAAGAGAATACAGATTTAGGCTCTTTAGTCGGTCCCAATAGTTTAGATGTTTTACTGGGTGGATTCTAGCAGTAAAGGATCTCTGCATGCTCTCCAGGTCAGCAATTTCTTCAGCTTTGAAAGGGGCTGTCATTGTGCAGCAGTATTCCACTCTAGAGAGCACTAGCGTCTTGAAAAGTATCATCATCGGTATAGCATCTCTAGTCTGAAAGGTTCTTGTTATCCAACCTGTCATTTTTCTTGCAGTTGTGACAGCTACTTTATTGTGTTCTTTAAATGTAAGGTCTTCTGACATCAGTACACCCAAATCCTTTACGTTGTCTTTCTGTTCTATGTTATGATTTGACTGCATTTTGTACGTGGTTTTTGCTTTTATATTTTCATTTTTTCCGTAGCGCATGAGCAGAAACTTATCTTTGTTAATCACCATATTATTTTGTGTAGCTCATAGAAAGACCTGATTTACATCTGATTGGAGGTTTGCTATGTCCTCTATGTTGTCTACTCTCATAAAAATCCTAGTCTCAGTCTGTCTCTGAACTTGGGAATGGGCTGACGGCGCTGGGGTCCATGGGTGGGAGAGCTGTGCGGACAAGCGGCACAGTGGGTTGATGACGTTTGCCTGTTTCCTTGTTCCTTTTGGGGGAGTTTTGATTCTCTGTTCAGTCTTGGGTTTGCAATTTCCTACCAACGGGTTTGTTTTGGGACGCCTATCTTTCTGGGTGCCTAACCCTGGTCGATGGCAGACATGGAATACTCCCAAAAACAGTGGAGTTTCCTTAGGCCATATTTCCCTGCACCTCTCTGAGGGGATCAGGTTCTGGCTCGTGGTCCCCAGTAGGCAGAACTCCATTGATTGAAGCCCCAGACTAATATAGCTAATATCAGTCCGATATCTCCAGGGAGCCTCCAGGGGATCACCGGGGGACTACCCAGAAAATGGCGTTTCATTCCATTCAACGCTGGTTTTATGACTGAATTTATAATTTATATACAACTGTATATCAAAATTCTGACTCTGTGACATTGATTTATATTTAAGAAGGGCTTGGTAAAGGACATAAATTTGCTTGCTTTGAATTCATATAGTGTGAAAGGGAAAAATTAAATCCCAAAAGGTGTGAATTCTTTTCATTTTTTATTTTATTCATGTATGAAAAAAATTTGAGTTATTATAGATAATAATTTTTTGGCTGCCTTTATGATTAGACTTACATTAATGATACAGATTCTGATAGTGAAAACAAATCAAAGCTACAGGGTAATAATGAGATACAGGCAAATAGGAGGTGGTGTGCTTATCCTTCAGTATTTAATAACTTAAATTATATACAGTATATTGTGTATAAAAATTTCAATATAGTAATTTTTTCTTTGGCAGAAAGCAGTTCAAAACAGTTTAAGAAAAATACTGAAAAGGCAAGTGTTTGAAATGTTACTGTTATACAGTAATTATTAACGAGTGTTTTGTTTGTGTGGATGTGTAAACACACATGTGCATACAATTACCTTTGTTATTGTGTATAGTATTAGAAGATTAATTCTAATTTCTAGATTGGCAATATATCATGATGTAGCTTTTAAAAGTTCAATAAGAGATATGATAAACAGTGATTTATGAATTAATTTTATGAATACTGAATATTAATTATAATTTCATGTGTACCAGTATTTATTAACATCCAGATGATAATTCAGAAAACTTATCTCATTATGGCAATTTATCGCAGTTGTATTAAATTCTGCTTCCATACTTAGGGAAGTGGCATGAGTCGACAATTGCGTATTGTGAAAAACAAAATGGAGGATGAATCTCAGAAGACCAAATTGGAGCAAACAATTAAGGATCGCCTTCAAAAATTAGGTTTGGAGAAAATAGGTAAGGCTATTAAATATTGTTTAGACTTTATAAGTTATCAAGTTTATGATGTGAAACTGAAATTTAACCACTTACTGTAATTTGATCTTAAGTGTAGTATTGAAGAGGATCAGGGATGCATAACAGTGAACAGAAGACCAGCACCCAGCCAGGCTAAACCAAACCACTTTCTGGATGAAACAGAAGAGCCTGGCTTTGGAACAAGGAACATGTGACACCGAGGTTGATGAATAAGGCCTTAACCCAAACCATTAGCATGCAAATAGTGCTGCACAGCGGTCACAAGACAGTCAGTTGAATGAAGGCAAAGAAAACTATTACCAGTCCTGAGGGAACAAAAACACATCCCCTAGATTAGAGCAGGAAGCATACCAACTCTGCAGTTGGAAGCTAAAGCCAAGAGTGAGGCAACCTTGAAAAATAAATCCTCAACTGATGGTGACACTTGAAAATGAGAAAAAAGGCAAAAACCTGATCAAATGTTGAAGGTGGTTTCAGACAGTGTGAGCCTGCCAGAGGTGAAAAATGCCAGAGACAGTTGGAGATAGAGGAAAGGAAGGAGGGCACATCCACCTCATATACCAGCAATGATTGGAGGCATTTTTAGGCATCAAATGAAAATCCAGGAAGATTCTGGAAGCAAAAGACGACACTGGCAACCAACATTTTGGACAGATGCCGAAGAGAAAGGAATAACTGGAAAGCCTGCCAAGCTACCTCATATTACCACCTTAAAGAAAGACGCAAATGTGACACCAGGTAGTTGGCCACTTTATTCTCATATAGGTAACAGTGCACAGCGGTTAAAATACCAGTATTGAATGTAATGAACCGCTACATTCTTCGGGGCTTCAGTGGCTTTCTGTAGTTAGCCGCACTGAGATCGTTCCACACATTTAAGTCAGATCAGCCCTTGTAAATTTTTAAAAGCCTACCAGAAACGAGATGCCAAAACTTGGTCCTCTTACTGGGAGCAGGGAATTCTTGATCACCCTTACTGAAGAAACAAATTCTTAGAAATGAAGTGAAGCAAACCAAACTACTGCAAGGTTTACAGAAAGTAAACAAACGATGTAGCATGACTGCAAACAATCCATCCAGTAGTTAGGTGTTATCCCCTTCCCTAGTTCCAGGTGGCAGCACCACAGAACCTGCCAGCACCCGTATGGAGGGAAGGGTCCAGGGAGTCATTGAGGTGCCTCCACCCCCAGAAAGAGGTATTTCATTACATTCAACGCTGGTTTTCTGGAGGGACTGAATGGTGTGGCTTCCTTGTAGTTAAGTAAACATAGAGTATGTTTAGTTAAGTATAACGTAAAAGTGAAAGCGTTCCTGCCGGAATAGCAGTGGCTATTCCGGCAGGTGAAATGCCAATCACATTAAGTAAAACAAAGTAAATAAAACTGCTTCTGACCTCTTTACAGTGTGAGAGCTGCAGAATAAATTCCAAAAGAATTAAAATTTAAATATTTAATATAACAAAAATGACTTTAACAGCAAATAAAACAATTTCCATATTCTACATGGCAAAACACAAAGCATAATGTAAAATGAACAGGTGACAGTTATGTTAATAGCAAATAAAAGTCCAAAATATAATATACAAGAAGCAGTACGCATCTACAGTTTCCTGGAACGCTACAGTAGATGTTATTGTTGAGAGCACAAAGCATATTCTGAGGACTGGCTGGTGGTGAGCTGCTTATATAGGCAGCCAGGCCTAGTGTAGGTGGTGCTGATGTGCAGGTAACTATCGCCGGCAGTCTCAAACGAGTGGTTAGGCTGGTTGACCGGCGAGTGGAGTTGGCCGTGTGTGTGCAGGTGTCTCGGGTACTTGAGGGTGGAGGGAGGGGCTGCGTCTTGTCTGCACACAGGCTTCTGAGCACATATTGTGGTCGTTGTTTGTGTTGAATTCTTATACTGGAGTATGCATATATGGTGTTGAATAGCCGGTAAAGGAATAGGCAGGATCTCCTTGCCTAAGCAGGAGATTACCGTAACAAGAGAAAGATGGGTCTCACCAATGGAGGAGGAGTGCAAAAAAAAAAAACAGAAGGGGAGAAACCAGGTCAGGAAACTACCCAGCTCCTGGTCCCATAATGCAGGACCAGCAGCTGGTCCCAAAGGAAGCCTACCTCATTCATCAAAAGAAAGCACAGTATGCCAGCATGCTACACGAGACAAAATAATCTGTAACTGGCTCGTGAAGAAGAGGAGTGAGCTGCTTAATACAGTCTGCTTAACAAAATAAATAAATAATAATTAATAAATTTATAGTCCAAATAAATACATACAAATAAATTCACTGGTAGATTTCCCCACATCATCCCAGCGAATCCACTTTTCTTAGTAAATCATGGGCCAGTCCTAAACAATATCATCATCAGTGTTAGAACACCACTTTGACTCTCCAGCAGCACACTGGTTGGTCTCCAGCAACACGCTGGCTGGCTTATCTTAAAGGCTTCACCAATAAGCCTTAACTAATGCTAGGTTGGACTTTGTCCTTGCTCAGTTCCCTGCTTTTGCACCGCCCCTGTGTTCGGTTCTGGTCCTGAGTTTTCATCTTTTCCTTGTTTGGCACTTCCGGCTTCTGGGTTGCCCTGTATGTAGGTGAATGTAGGTTCACCTCTGTAGGCCAGAGGTGAACTAGGCTTCTTGTAGCAATTTTCACCAGAATAGGAAATTGTTTTGGGACGCTTACCTTTCTGGGTGCCTGACCTGGTCGATGGTAGACATAGAATGCTTCCAACCACACGGGGGGTTTCTATAGGCCATTGTTCCTCGTGCCTCTGTGAGGGGGCCAGGTTCTGGCTCGTGGTCCCCAGTAGGCCCATAGAACTCCATACACATGACTGATGCCAAAGTCTGACATTAGCATATCAGCCTGGATAGCTCCGGGGAGCCTCCAGGTCTCACCTAGAAAATGGCGTTTCATTACATTCAACGCTGGAATTTTCTCCAAGCTGATTCCTCCCTACCCCATGAAAGAGGGGAAATGAAATCCTATAGTGATAATGTATTTATGTATATAATTATCAGTATTTCTGATTTTTTATAGAACTTGAGTAAATTATGAAACAAGATTAAAACTATTTATTTTATTTATTTATTTATATATATACAAGAAGGTATATTGGGTTTGTGAGAGTACATAGCATAATATGTTTAAATTAAAATATAAAAATTTCTTACAGGCAGAAAATTTGAAGTGAAAATTTTAACTCCAAATTCTCTTGAAGATGAAGATACAAATAACCCTTTGCTGTCCCAAGAAGAAACTGAAGCTTTCCAGAATATGATTGTTAATCTTTTGGTAAGTCACTTGAAGTTATAAATTATATATTTGTTCATGTCCAACAAGATTTCATCTTAGATCCCTTTCGTCAGTGATGTTTGTATCATAGACTACTCTATATAAACCATTGATTTTCTGTGGGGAGCCCCTTCGGCTCCCTGGAGCTAATGTGTGATACATTAGACCGGGGCATTAGTTTATGGAGTTCGACATACCAGGAACCACGAAACAGAACCTGGCCCCTGCAGAAAGATTTCAGGGAGCAATGGCAATGGAAACCGGGTGCGGGTGGGCAACATCGGTAGCAAGTTAACCGGTTTAGATTTCAACTCTAACAGTATACACTGATCCGGCCCAATATCCGCTAGTCCGGATTCTATGGACATTTTGGCTGGATGGGGAGATAACTTTATCTGGCCATGATTTTTGTCAGATTAGGACGTTTTCTGGATTGGCAGATCCCGGATTAGCGAGCTTCTACAGTACAGTACTTCCAAATACGGGGGGGGGGGGGGTTCCTTAGGCCATTGCTCCCTGTGCCTCTCTTAGGAGGCTAGGTTTTGACTCGTGGTCCCTGGTAGGCAAACTCTCTTGACTGAAGCCCCCAACTAACATAAGCTGATATGTCCGATAGCTCCAGGGAGCCTCCAGGGCAGACCCAGAAAAAAGTGTTTCATTAAATTCAATCCTGGATTTTTAGCCTGGCTCTCCTAAACCTTGCGGAAGACACGAGGTAAAGGAGCATAGTTGTGAAATTAGCATGACATGGGTTTTGTGGGGTCCCTCTCAGAAATCAAACATATTTGCAATGAAATGTCCCTTTTTGAACTACACCTAAGATGATCCCGGTTCCTTACTCAACACCTAAATACTCCCGGTTGAAAGTAGGTCAGCTCCCAGTGACCTACTTTTTCATGTCAGCAGGTCTTGCTTATGCTCAAAAGTTGGGTGGTCACCTCACCTAAACTTCTGGTGGTAGCCAAAGGCAGATTATTGCATGCTTGAATTGTTTCAGTTTGGTTTGGATGGGTTTGGTAATTGCACAACGTTCCTGGGAGGGAGGGAATTATCAAGGGAAAGCACCCAAGCCATTACAACTAAATAGCACTTGGAAGGGGTTAGGATAAGGATTTGGGATCGGACAGGGGGATGGGGAAAAGAATGGTGCTCAACCACTTGGACAGTCGGGGATTGAACGCCGACATACATGAAGCAAGACCGTTGCTCTACTGTCCTCCTGGGAGGGAGGTAAAGTGATTTGTGTTAACTTTGTTATTTTAAGAGGGCAATTCACCTCAGTAGTGGATGGATCTCTGATTCCCATATGATTCTTACTCCATTGAGGGGGTAAGACAGTTTGATTAGGTCTATGATTCCTCATGGTCGAGATAATCACAGGAGCCTGACTTATCATGTATATCCCTAAAGTGCTAGTGACACTCTAAGGGTTGCAGCTGAAGTGATGCCCAGAAAGGGACATTTCTTTAATTTCTACGCACTATATCTTCTCTTCTACGTGTCAATTTTTGTTTTCTTTGCTTTCAGAGTGCAAATGCAGAAGAGTTGGAAGAAAGAGAAAACCACAGAAAGTTGGAAAAGAACTATGGTTTTAAATGGGATGATAGTCAATTTGCAGAGGATGAAGATGAGTAACACTTGTTACTTGTTTTGTCATGAGGTTGGATTATGGATTAAGATAACAAGTATCAACCCCTAAATGATTGATATTGAGGAATGACAATCCAATATTTCAACTGGTATTGGTAATGATCTGCATTGTTTTGATATGAGTCTCAGAATACCATGAGTTAAAATGTTTAATTTAACATGCTGTACATGTACTGGCAATTAGCTTCCAAATTAAGTATTTCTTAATTTTGAATTAAAATTTCATAAATGAATACCAAATACAGTATAATATAACCTTCATTCTCTATTTGTTTTTTGTGCATATGATTTTACCTGGCATGTATAATGTCTTCAGTTTTAATTAAAAAAATGGTTAATCCTCTTTCAGAACACGGTAATGGTTAAAGGCTAAATTGTGCTTAATTAATTTTGTCAACTTTAAAGAATAGGTACATATTTCAGAATATTAATTGCCATATTTAATACAAATTCATGGACACATGAATGTTTACAATATACAATGGCCAAAACCTTGTACAGAAAGAAAATAATACTAACTTCTACTGCTATTCTCTGTTAATCACCATAATCACAATACGGTGATTATATACGAGGTTAACTGTATTTACATTAACCAACTTGTGTGTATGTTTTTGGTATTTCATTACAAGTACATTAATTCCTTGAAATTTTAATACGAAAATTTTTAATTTTGTCTAATGTGTGGATTTTCTTTCATATATATAAAATTTATTCAGTACAGTATTGTATTCAGTTTTTTATACAATCATGCACTTTCCTGAGTTTGCCATTAAGGGGGCAGCCTCTAATTATTTTCATCTTGAAAAATACAGTACCAAGATGACCAAATTATACAGTTCACAGATATTTCAAGAATGAAATTATTGGTTGTAAATATTTATCTGCATTATTTCTTGTATAACAGGAGCATATCATTTGATATTATTGCGTAGTTCCAACAGTGGACAAGTACCTGTATAGTTTTGCATGGGATGAATCATTATGCATGCCACATTTTATTTATAATTCAGGGGTTTCATTACCTTGAAGTTATCAACAGATGAGAAATTATCACATAGTAATTTAATGTGAAATGTGGTAGTAACATAGCAAAAGGGTTATTTTTTGGCATTTTATTATTGTGTACATTATGTGTGTGATAATATACTGTGTATATATAAACTCAAACAATTAGTCATTGTGATCTCGGTGACTGCTAATATTTGAGAAGGGACATTGATTTAGCCTTGTAAAGTGCAATTTAAAAATTTGATTTTCCTATGCTGTAATGAACTTGTGTTATATTTTAATATAATGTCTTCTGTTATATACTAGGGCTCCATGTATATTCTTCATTAGGGATTGTTTCTTTTCTGTATATCTTTTCTTTAATTATCATCTATTTTATTAACGCAACTTTCAGCAAGAGTGAGCATATTACTATGACTAGTTAACTGTATGACATGTTAATAAAGATTTATTGGAACGATATGGTAATGAGAGGGAGATCACATATGTAGTATAAGATATTTTAGGAATTACCTTATTTGAAGATTTAAGGCAATCTTATATATTGGTTATGATTTTATGTTGTTGTTATTGTTATTATTATTATTATTATTATTATTATTATTATTATTATTATTATTATGATAAGTAATTCAATGTTTCCTACGTTTGTTTGGCTTAAGTGTACTAGTTAAACACACTTTGTTAGTCTTTCACCTTCACTTTGGGGCCTTGTATACCTTTGAAATTAAATTAGCGTTTTATGCTATAGCATGAATCAGTGGGTTCTACACAAGCGTACAGTATAGAGGAAGGAATTATATGACCTGATGATGAACGGGTTTATTTGCTTTGTTTACTTTTATTATACAGTATAGCGAATTTTTTTTTCATATTTTATGAGTTGGAAGATCGTCAGTACTGCACTTCAAGATTTGCATATGACTTTATAAATAAATTGTTCAAGGCAAGCTTCTGTGCCTGACACCGAGTAAAGTATAAAAAGCTATTACAGAATATTAATAACACAACAAAAATCTTTCAGGTATAGATATTTTCTTTTCATCTTAAGTAGTTTGACAAAATATGGATGGTTTTCATGTGTTTCTATACAATTTAGAACCAGATGGCTATTTAGCAGTCATGTAGCAGTAGATGGGGATTTGTAAGGAACTTAGCATTTGCAGATACTATGCTGTAAGTATAATACAAACATGCTACTGTGCACTATCAGATCTTCACAAAACTACCTCTAATTCTACACTTGACTGATTTTGTATCTTTTTATCATGTAACAGGGAAGACATACAAATAACATAGACAATAGTGTTTATAAGTGCTTAGTGATAATGGTTATGTTTTGGGATTGGGTACTGTATTTGAAACCACAATACAGAGAAATGCTTTTATTTAACAATGGAATATATTAGTAATTATTTTTATTTTTATAATTGTATATTGGAATTAACACTTGCGCTTTGGGCGAGCGAGCATTTCTCCTACCCTAGTGGTTTTGGACGTTCCACGGGACCTCGCGGTAATACTGAAAAGTGTATACTCTTTTCAACTTTGTCACCTTAATTCTCATCCTAGCTTTTTCAATTTGATATTAATGTGTTCGCAATAGAATTCTCTACACGATTAAATGCATATAAAGTCTGAAAGCCCAGCTTACCACCTGCAGCAAACAGAGAAAGTTACCCTAGAGCGAGCAAGAGCGATAAAATGTGAACATTCTTTTTACTTTGGTCACCTCAATTTTCGTCCTAGGTCTTTCATTTTGGTATAAATGTGTTCATAATAAAATTCCAAACAAAAGTGTATGAATATTATGTAAAAAACCGTGGCGCGCTCCACCCAACGACGTGATGAGAGCAGGGTGGAAGGCCGGGCCTTCCATTAGAGACCGCGGTAATACTGAAAAGTGTATACTGTCTTCAACTTTGTCATCTCGATTCTCATCCTAGGTTTTCCAATTTGATATCAATGTGTTCACAATAGAATTCTCCACACGATTAAATGCATATGAAGTTCGAAAGCCCGGAGTACCACCCGCACAAAACAGAGAAATTGAGAGCAAGTTACCCTGGAGCGCTAAAGAGCAATGAAATGTGTACACTCTTTTCACTTTGGTCACCTGAATTCTTGTCTTTGGTCTTTCATTTTTATATCATTGTGTTCGCAATAGATTTTCTACAGGAGTATATGCATATATAAAGTCCAAAAGCACGGTGTACCACCCACAGCAAACAGAGAAAGTGACAGCGCGTTACCCCAGTGAGCGCTAATAAAGAACAATAAAATGGGTTTGCTCTTTTCAACTTTGTTACCTCAATTCTGGTCCTAGGTCTTTTATTTTGGTATCAATGAATTCGCTATGAAATTCCCTACAGGTGTATGTGCATATAAAGCCCAAAAGAACGGCAAGAAAGTGAGAGCAAGTTACCCGGGAGCGCTAAAGAGCAATAAAATGTGTAAACACACTTCATTACACATACAGATCACACTAATGTGATGCATCACATTAGTGTGATTCAACATATTGAATGTTTAAAAAGATTTTGAGTTCATCTCGACCAACAAGAAGCATAGACTGTGTTGTGGATTTGTTCAACACTTCACATTCTTCACATTCTTCACATTAGACATCTCAATTCTCGTCCTAGGTCTTTCATCTTGGTATCATTCTGTTCGCAGTAGAATTCCCTATACGATTATATGTATGTAAAGTCCAAAATCCCGGCGTACCACCCACAGCAAACAGAGAAAGTGACAGAGCGTTACCCCAGCGAGTGCTAATAAAGAGCAATAAAATGGGTTTGCTCTTTTCAACTTTGTTACCTCAATTTTGGTCCTAGGTCTTTCATTTTGGTATCAATGGTCTATATATTCGCAATGAAATTCCCTTCAAGGGATATATGCATATAATGTCCAAAACTGCGGCGAAAGCAGGCCAATTGTTTTTTAATTTTTGACTCCATACCTCGTCATCGGTGGGCGAAAGTGTTAAGATGAGGCCCAAAAAAATAATGAGGCAAAGTGGGTCAATAGATATTCAATCTCCTGACAAACTGGTCACAGTAAGAGGAAACCAAACAAAATCAAGCCAGCACAGTGATAAAACTTTGTACCCTAAAGGACTATCTTTCCATTACTATTATTCCTCATTCTAATATGGTGGAGAGAAATGTGAAAAAACTGAACCTCACTGTTTTCAATACCTATAAATCTACAGCAACAAGCAATAGAAACTGTGTGCACTTATTTTTTCTGATCAAACATATTGTATGTTTAAGAAGATTTTGAGTTCATCTCGACCAACGAGAAGCACAGACTGTGATTTCTAACATTCAGTAAAAATTCAGAGAAAATATATTAAAAAATATTAAATTTTTTGTTGTATATGTTAGAGGAATCATTAGTGAACATTTTGATACCAAAATTAAAAATTTATATTTACCAATATTTACCAATTTGTTCAATACGCTTCCACTACACATAAGGGGCATAACTGGCCGACCCCTCACAGTGTTCAAGAGAGAACTGGATAAGCACCTCCAAAGGATACCTGATCAACCAGGCTGTGACTCATACGTCAGGCTGCGAGCAGCCGCGTCTAACAGCCTGGTTGATCAGTCCAGCAACCAGGAGGCCTGGTCGACGACCGGGCTGCGGGGACACTAAGCCCCGGAAGCACCTCAAGGTAACCTCAAGGTAAGGTACCTTTCAAATCATACATTGTAAATGTAATTTATTAACATATTCATTTATTATACAATCTGACTTGCAATACACGAGACGAATCATCTGTAAATATTTCAGTAACAAAACTTTAAATTCAAGATAACTATGTATTTTAGAAATGATTGTAATATGTTTATACAAAAATTTGTATGCATAGGTAAATGATGGAATGTACTTCTCCAACAATGAAAATATTTACAGAAAACACATTAAATAGCCATGCTATATTTTCTGTATACCATGTGATTAGTAATTTTTTTTTTTTTCCCAAAAAAATTATACACAGTATTAAGGGCAAGCAATTCTTTGAGTAAAATCTTATTTATCATTCTAAGATTCTGTGACCACAACAATGAGCCTCTGCATGATGCTAGATACTACATGACACAGAGTCCCATTATACAGTATAATATTAAATGATATTTTAACATTTCAATAATATGTACCAAAATTCTGAAATATGGCATATTTTGTAATGTACTGCATAATTGTGAAGAAAGAATTTTGTGTTGAAATGCATCGTGGACAGAGCACAAAGTGCCGACAACCATGTGAAGACACACTAAATTAAGAGTAGACTTTAACTGTTGGTATATTTTGGTCTATACTGTATGGGCTAAATATTATGTACAAGAAATGTCTACTCTTAATTTGATGTATTAATATAATTCTTTTATTATTGCTTAGTAAACACAGGGTTAAGAGCAATAGCACCACTGTACAGTATACCCATCCAGTGAATCTTCACACACAATAACACATTTAAGTTGAATGTTACCTAATAACCTTAGTGAGATGCTGTTCAGGGTTGATTAATTGTAATGATGTGACATAATTGCCTTCACCAATGATTGAATTTCCATTATTCCTCATCATTTACAATGATGTCTGTGCGTGGTCTAACAATCACTACTCTAACCCATTCGGCAGTCTCATAAGTTTTAGTAAACCTGAGTGCATAATTGTTTTATAATTCTACATCTAATTTCCTATTTCCCTCATATTTTTATGTATTAACAATCTTCTTATTTTCTTAAAAAATGTCATAATAGTTTATGATAACAAAGTTAACAAGTAAAATTCTTTGATAAATATTTACACTTGTGGGAATAATCAGCTAGTGATTAAACTTTGAATATTGGAAGCGAGTTAGATATTAACTAAACGTTCAGTAAAATATTTTCTTTATTTTATATAATCAACCATTCTTATAGTTAGTGAAGATATTTGATGGTAAACTATTCATTATAATTTGTTTATGGAAATTTATCCTGAAGTCTGTTTGTGATAAAGATATTTACTATAAATGCATTTTAATTCTGTACAAGGATATATATACAGTAGTTTATCTTCATGATAGATTTTAGCACTGTTTAATGCCTAGAATTATCTAAGTACATTAATATTAAATTCTTTCTTATTCATTTGCTATAAAATCAAACAATACTGGTACATTTTAAATTGATTTACCAACCAGTCATTTTGATCAAAGGTTTTAAAAAAGGCTATAATACTTAATATGGGACGTTAATAAAAAATAAATGTTATCTATATGAAAACTTTGTCTTATTGACAAGTTTTTGCATATTTTTTTTTTTTTTTTAAGGAAGTATCATAACTAGTCATTATTGTTTTCAGCTATACCTGGCTGCTGCTGAAGCTTACTGACAAACTGTGCATTACATTCAAGGGCAACAATATAACAAAATAGATTTACAGAAAACCATTATTTTAATGTTTTGATTTTGCAATGTGGGGTTTCAACTAATATACTGTATTGCAGAAGTTGCCATCAATCTTTGGCAATTTGATGTTAAAATTAATGTGTTTAAATAATACAAGCAGGAGAGTGAAGTTGCTATAATTTTGTTTTTCTTCCATGCACATAAAGTGAAGAATACACACTCCCCTTCCTTCATTTGTTCCCTGTAAATGTATTCTATCTGTTTCTGAATGAAAATTTCACAGGCACATTAGCTGCTTTCCAAGTTATTTGCAGGTTTCCCTATCATATATCTCATATGTTTGATACTTTATAGGTTTTTAGTTTGTCTTGTTTCTCAAGATATCCAGGTAAAGTTGAATAGCAATATAAATAAATAATTTGAGAAATTCTCAAGAGCTCATTATTAATGCCTTATTTATTGATACAGGTACTGTATAATCTTTTTTAAGATGTAGTTTTAGATAGTGGGTGGAGTTATTGAAATTTGAAATGAAATGCTATACTTTATTTTTCGTCTTTGGTTTCTTTGTTGGTAATAA